GGGAGCTGGCACAGCTGAACAAACAAAGGTGAGACCAACACCTACAAAGAGTAGTCACCGCCAGTGGGGTTCTGAACTCTCTGTGGAAAATGCTTAGCTGTGTGCTTGTCACTGTGCCCTTTCAACAGTCCAAGAGGCAATGAGTGATTGGAGGGGGAGCACACCTAGTATATAGTCTAAACCATCCCAAATTCCATTTCAAACTCAATATCCTCCACTAAAAATACTTGTCTACCTATGTCTTTCGATCATCCATACCCAGGGAAACTTTATGTCAAATTGATAATAGATAAGCAATTGATCCCTTCAGCTGTGTGGGAACATCAGGACCCAGTCAGTGTCTCTTCTGAGAGTAGTTCCTCAGCTTATGGAATGGCTTATAGAAATGCTTTACTAGTATTGAGAAGCAATGTGGCAGAGTTGCTAAGGGACTGTATCCTGGCTCATTCTATCTTTGTAACCTCTTGGGAGAGTTACTTAACCTTTTTCTGCCTCTGTTTCTTTATCTAGGGCATGTTCAGGCCATTGTATAATCACCAGGAACTTTAGCCACCCTCTGTGCCCTCACTCATATAATGGACTTTGCAGTCATTGCCACTATCCAATAACTCATGGTAAAATCTTGCCAATATGTATTCCTGAAAGTTTAGTGGAAAAAGAGAAGGTAGTTAAAAAGCTCTCTCTCTCTCTCTCTCTCTCTCTCTCTCTCTCTCTCTCTCAGCTGAAAAAGGAAAACACACAGACAATAGGAATAATAGGAAGAAGTTTCATCTGATTCAAGTGAAAGAAGAGGAAAAAATGAGACAAATTAGCAAGAATCATTACATACAACATTTTTAGCCCATTCATCCTAAAAATATCTGAAGCATCATTTCATTTAATCTTTATAATCACCTTGCAGAATATAGTTTGAAGTTCTCATTTTAAAGACGAGGACACTGAAGTGCAGAAAGGTTAGGCAACTTGCTCAAGGTCACCCAACTAACAAGGGCAGAACAAGGCTTTGAAACAACTGGGCCAGACAGTAACCTAGATTCTTTCTTTTTTACCTGCCTCAAGCAAAGAAGATATTTAAATGTTTCTCCATCCCTTAGGGATTGGAAAGATGAAAAAGGGAGATAGTGGCATGGAGATAGTATCCCAGGTCTAATTTTGCTGCTAAGCAAGCTGAGGAGCCTGGACCAAGCCCCTTCCCTACCCTACAAGTCCCTTCCTCGCTGTAGGACAGTGTTGTAGAGGCCCTCAGTGCTCTCTTCACCTCTGCATCCATGCTTGCAACCTTCGATTCCCCTGTGTGTGGGTCAAAGTGCTCAGGAGGCTTCCAGGTCCCGGGGGCCTGGTGTTGCTTCCTCCTTCCCCTCCTCATTTTCAGATGGCGAGCCTGTGCCTTACAGAGACTTTTCTCTTTCATTATCATGACCTGCACCAAGCAGCCAGTCCTCTGCTCTTCTCGGTGATCATGGTGAGGATGAAAGTAAAATTCTCTTAATACTGCTTATTTCTCGAGGTTGCCATATTTCAAATATGGGCTACCAAGGTGAAATGACTGGAACTGAACATCTGCGTGACATTCTCTGCCTGCTCTGAGCCTCGGGAAGTAAAGGAGGAGAGAGCCACCTAAGTCAGGAAGGGCCTGATCACTGTCAGGCTCAGGGCCAGGCTGCCCTGCTCTGTAAGTGGGTGGTGGGCCAGAGGCAGCTCTGAGCTATGGAAGATCCCACAGCTGGTCCAAAGGGGAGCCAGGCTCGCACTTGGGAAGAGCAGCAGCCCCCTGTGAACGTAGGAGGGGCTTCTGCCACAGGCTGAGCAGCCCTGGGAGATGTCCTTCCTGTTAGAGGCCATTGCCTTCCCCCTTTTTTTAATGTGGGGAGTTTGTAGGACCGGATTCACCCGCTAGGCTAACCCTGATAGTGAATCAAAGCTTATCTGAAGGGGAGAACGGACTTAACACCAGCCACTGAGTGAGCGTCAGGCAAATAAATGGGGGGTCAAGGGAAAGTTCCAAAGTCAGAGCCGGAGCAGTGTGGGGTGGAGAGAAGAAACCCAGGTGGGGACAGGAGAGCCTGGCCAGTGTGGGTACTGGGTGAAGGAGAAACTTTTATCCAGAGCCAAGGCCAAAGGATGGCACAGGGGACCCAGCTTCAGAGCAGGTTCAGACCCTCAGGGCTGAGACAGCTGGGTGGGGAGAGCAGAGGAGCAGAAAGCAGCTCCCTTGGGTTTGAGAATTATGCCAGGCTTTTCCGGGTGCTCCCTCTGTCAGGGGCTCCTGGGAGGGCATTGGGTGAAGAGAGGGACTTGGCTCAAGCCCAGAGGGGAGCTAACGTGAGGGAAGAGGCTTGGAGCTCTGTGTGGCCACGGTGCTGGTGGAAGCCCAGAGAGAGGCGGATTGTTAAACAGTGAAGCAGATGTGTGGGGAAAGCAGCGGAAGGGATGTCCTTGTCTGAGACGCCTTTTCTCAGCTCATCTCCGAAGATGAGAGACTTTCCAGCAGTCTCTGGGCCTCTCCTTACAAACAATGCCATTCATTAATTTATTCATTCAATCCTTCATTCATTCAGTCAGTCATTCTGTAATCACAAGCTCACTGGGCAGCTACTGCCTACCAGGCACCGCGTGTAAGGATGGACGTGGACCAATGGTTGTGGGGACACAGTGGGAGGCTGACCCACGACTAAAGTTAACAAGAGGTGACTCAGCTGGGGAGCCAGCAGGTGCTCCCCAAATATTTAAGTGTCATAGTGGAGAGGAATGAGGAGGAGGAACTGTCCACACACCTGGGTTATAAGGTGATTTGGATTTTCCTAAGGCCACACCTAGGAATAGATTGTGTTTTGAAGGCAGCTCTGAACTTCAATTTTATTTTGTGTTGATCAAAGGAAATTGCTGGTGTAAGTTCTCAAGGAATAACTGTCCTTCTGGCCCCAGAAAAGAGACCACAGCAAAGAATCTTCCAGACCGGCCCAGAGCGGAGGGAAGGTGCACCTGGTCAGGTGCTCAGAGGCTGCCCACCTCCTGCCATCCTCAGTGTCATTGAGGTCAGGGTACCTGTCCCTGTCACTGTGCCACCCTGGGACCTCCTACAGAGTGAAAGCAGCTCTGGTTCAAAACAGGCATTTTAGCCTTTTCGTTTCTCTCAGACCCTGGCCCATGAGGGGTGAGGGGCTTAATTAGTGCCTTATTTCCACCTCTGTTCATTCATGTCCCCTCCCATTTTTAGCAGAGCTGGAAATCCCCACAGCCACTTCAAACATTAAGCAGATTTATGACTACTTAAGCGGATTTGTCCTGACAACCATTAAGGGCTCACCCAAATTCGAGAAGCCTCTTAATGTCTTTTCACATTGCCACACACGCAAAGCTTTCCCAGGATGCTGAGCGGACCCAGCTTCAAGCCGGGAAGCCTGGGCTCCCCCTGTCCACCTTTAATCATGTACCTGCTTCATTTCCTCTGTAGGCACTGGGAGGGGTTAAGACTGAGGAGAACATAGGATTTCTGTGTAAAAGTACTTTTCTCATGGGGTTTGTTGTTTGACTTTGGGGGAGTTACTTCACTTCCTGTGACCTCAACTCCCCATCACCAGGTGACGAGTGTGGCCTGAGGCTCCCTGAAATCCATTACACTAGAGCAGCGGTTCTCAATCTGTGGGTTGTGACCCCTTTGGGGGGGTCGAAGGACCCTTTCACAGGGGTCGCCTAAGACTATCAGAAAACACATATATAATTACATATTGTTTTGGTGATTAATCACTATGCTTTAATTATGTTCAATTTGTAACAATGAAATTGGGGTCACCACAACATGAGGAACTGTATTAAAGGGTCAGGGCATTAGGAAGGTTGAGAACCACTACACTAGAGGCTGTGTCTCTCGCCCCAGGGAGTTCCTGATCTGATGAGGAAACATGATCTTCCTATAGTGAGCTTCTAGAATGAGCCATGCCTGGTGTATACTAAGGATTCTGAATGAATGAGTATTTATTGAATTACCATCCTTTTGAGCAGGCACAGCTCCAACACTCAGAAAGCCCCCAGGATATACAGAGCCAGAGGGGGCGAGGGAAGCACTGCAGCCAGTAAGAGCTCCAGGAGTTGAGGCTGGAGTTGGAAATGAGCAAGAGTTAAGGAGAAGGGTGGTGTTCATCGCTGAGGGCTCCATGGATGGGCTTGTGGTGCAGGCAGTTAGAAAGGGCTTCCAGGATTTCAGGTCAGGGGTGGTGTATAGTTGGGTAAGGAAGGAGGAAAGGGCCATGGCCAGAAGCCTGGGTGGAGTAGAGGGGAAGTTACCCCAGAAGATGAATTATCCCTTGAAAATCTCTTAAATAGGAAAGGGGTGAAGGTGTGGTTGGTGAAAGCAAAGCAGGTTTCCCCAGATTAGCAACCAGTCCGGGAGGGGTAGGGTTGGGGGAGCTAATAATTAAGTAATTCTGAATGGGTGTGGTTCAGTGGAGTGAGGAGAAAGATGGGAGAAAAGGATGTACTGGTCTTAAATCCTGCAGACAAGGAGTCTACCTTCAGTCAATTCCATGATCTCTAGCATCCTTCTACCTTTACTGATATAAGGCAGGCAACTGGTGCCCGCCCACCTCCACTCCTCTGCTCCCCCTCCCTTTCCCACTAGTTCATGTGCCCAAATGTATTCTATCCCACAGAACATGAAGAGAGCAGCCATCTCAAGGAAAAAGAGCTGAAAGGTGGCAAGATCACAGAAGCACTCAGATTTCCCTCCGGGGTTAACTTATAAAACTCCCCAGGAAACCTATGGCTCACCCCACCCCAACACGAGTCCTATACTTGGGTACACGGGGGAGGCTGGCCGTGGGAATTAGGCCCAGGTGACATCGCTGGCAGGCAGCCAGTGCCAAAAACTACCAAGTGGGTGGCTTTCATCACCAAAGGTGAGCCAACTGGTAATTGAGGGGAGTGGGGTGAATCATCTTTGACAGGTAAGGAATGAAAACAGAGGGGCCTGGGATGATCCAATTTTCCAAAGGCAGGGTTCAGTCATCTTATAAAAAGCCAGCTGGCCATTGATTTTACACCAGATCAGAGGGACCAGGAAACCTGTTCTTCACTGCGTACCAGGTGAGTCTCTGATTGGAACCAGATTGTTTATTTTTTTCATGATTAGAAACTGGGCAGAGGCAAATGTGTAAGAGGGCTGGTGCAGGGTATTGAACGGAGAGTGAGACTATTGGGATATTTTTTATTTTAAATTAAAGCATAGTTTGGGTTTGAAGAGAACTTAATAGGTGATTATGTCAGCCACCTCAGTGGGCAGCTTTGGAACTGGGCTCAGGGAAGGGGACAGATCTGTGTGAGATCCCACCATAGTTAAAAGCAGGCTTACAACTAGAACTCAGGCCCAGAGACTCTCAGAAACACCACGGTCCTCTCTGTTCATGAAACTTATTATAACATTTTAATTCATATGATAGACCTCTCCCGAGCCTTTATTATATTTAAGCACTTTGGGTAACACATACCCATAGGAAATTACTCAACAAACTCACAATCTAGCAGGGAAGATAATGCATGTACATACTAGTATATACTAGTAGGAGTAGACAGTGATTGGTATGAGGAAAGGACTGTGGCAGTTGGGAAGCCCCACTCATGAAGAGCTCCAAGCAAGGGCACATGATATGAGCTACAGTGGAGGAGTGTTTGGACAGCAAAGGTGGGAAGGAAAGAATTCCAGAGGGGGCTGTGTAAGCAAAGGCCAGAATCAGTTTGCAGGAGCTTGAATTCATATGAGTCATCCTACAAGTCACAGTGCTGTGTAGTGCTAGGAGTGGGTATACTGCAGTCATTTCTAAGATATCATTTTCCAAAAGACCCACTATGTGTACTTGTCAGTAGGGATGTGACATACTGGGGAAGAAAGGGAGCTGAGCAATGAATTCCACTGAAATGGAACCAACAAACTGCCTTTAAGCTCCTCCCCTTGAGAAGGCCTAGAAATTACCAAAGAATATTTTACTCTCAAATGTAAGGGGTCTGCCAGGGGAGATATGAGGCTCACTCTCATAAAAGGTCTGAAATTAAACCTACTTGGCATTGAACGAGGCTTCTTCCCTAGCTAATCCCTGTTTAAACCATCTGTTCTGGCTCTAGGTCCAGCCTCTTGTGAACCATGAGCTCCCACCAGCAGAAGCAGCCCTGCACCACACCCCCCCAGCTTCAGAAGCAGCAGGTGAAACAGCCCTGCCAGCCTCCACCCCAGGAACCATGTGTTCCCCAAACTAAGGAGCCATGCCAACCTAAGGTTCCTGAGCCATGCCACACCAAGGTTCCTGAGCCCTGCCACCCCAAGGTTCCTGAGCCCTGCCACACCAAGGTTCCCGAGCCCTGCCACCCCAAAGTTCCTGAGCCCTGCCACACCAAGGTTCCTGAGCCATGCCACACCAAGGTTCCTGAGCCCTGCCACACCAAGGTCATCCCAGCACCAGTTCAGCAGACCAAGCAGAAGTAATGTGGTCCATCTCCTTGAAGAACCAACCACTGAATGCTGAATCCTCTCTTCCATTCTGCTTATTTGTCCCACTTACCATTAGCATGCTGTCACCCTGAGTCATAATCCCTCCCTCTTTGTACCCTCCAGAAAAATGTCCCTCACACTCAGTTTGGAGGGCTCCTGAGCCCAGGGCTCATCTGAAGAGTGATTTTTTGGAGGGAGGAGAAATCAAGTGACTCTTCCCTGCTCTGCCCCCATTAAATCATTTGTAACAATATAACTGGCTACGCGTGTCATTGGCTGACTCAGCTTTTTACACTGGTCTCTCAACGTGAAGCCAGAACTGCACACAGCAGCGCTGGTTAGGAGGGCTGATGTCAGAGGGGCCTCATGCAGGCACTGAGAACATGCAGATGTGTACGTGTGACTGTTGTATTCACCGGATGTTCCTGGGCGGCCGATGGGAGAGCGGTCAGGGCCACCCAGAGCCTGTTACTTTGGGCAGCCTCAGCCAGAGCAGGGCTTTCTTTTTGCCCCTGAGTGCATCATATCTGAATATAGATGGTCCCTGCTTCAAGCCATCTCTGCCTCTGAGTCCTTGTTCTCAAATAGCCCGCATTCTGTTCAGCTTATTCTATTATTTATTATTATTCCAAAGAAATAGTGCTTGTACATATTCCAAAGTGATTATCTGTTCCTCACTCATCCTCCCTTCCTGATGCTACAACACATGGAAGGCAAGCACTGAAACACCCACTCTCAGACACAAATACACACGCACACACACACACTACACAACACACAAATCCCAAAAATCACACAACACACACACATGCATGCTGATTTTCTTTCACTGAATGCACAATAAGAAGACCTCAATGGTGCAGGAGAGCAGACTCCACAGTGCCTGCCCTAGGAGAAGCCTAAGAGGAGTGATCTTTACCCCTTTTCCTATGTAAACTTACACTAACACAATCACAACTCTAACTCTCTCTCTCTCTCTCTCTCTCTCTCTCTCTCTCTCTCTCTCTCTCTCTCTCTCCATCCACACACACATACAGGTACCTCACAGAGTAGAACATAAAAGCAAATGCATCATAGGAAAAAAGAAAAGAATCATTTAGGAAGGTTTCAGAGGAAAAGAGGTTAATACAGATAAGACAAAAAGTCATCATAAAGTTGAGGGAGACCAGGTCATTAAGATGTAAAATGAAAGGCTTAAAGAGCACCTGTCACAGCTCATTTATATTCCAAATCAACAAACAGATATCCAAGGGTCAACATTAGTTCCTGCATGATGTGCAGCACTCAGGTAGGTTTGGGAAGAAGTCCAGATTTGGAGATGATAAGACAAAAAGTGTTCACAAATCTTGCAGGTCCAGGAGTCATTATCAGACCGGCAGGAGAGGATGACATCGTCTGGGTTTGTGAGGTTGGCACATGTTCAGGTGATTTCAAATTACTACACACTGACATGATGGAAAATGTCACTAATATCTGCAGGAGCAGTCAGCTTTAAAGGGGCTGACCACAGTCAGGGACACTGGGGATACACAGTTGGAAGGATCTAAAGACAAGGAGCCGTCACAGGAGGAGATGAGCAAAATGAATCAAAATCCTTAAACATTTGCACGCCCTCTGTATTCCACTGGGAAAGATGCGTTGATGGGCATGAAGATTTATTTATAAGGAGAATCATTTCAACATTATAAAATAACAAAAATAAAGGAAAAGAAAAGGATGGAAGGGAAACAAAATAAACTCCCCCAAAGAGAAAATTAATTGAACAAGTTATTGTGTATCTATGTTATGGAATATACTAAGGTCATTCAATAATATTTCGTCATATGGAAAAATGTTCAGACATTGTCAAGGTCATGTAAAATATCATGGCATGTAATACATAATTACATAGTTATACCTTTGTTAAAATGTATGTCTGCATGCATAAATCTTTTAAAACCTGCCAGTATAAATACAGCAAAATATAAACAGCAGCATGTTTGGCTGGACAGTAAAAGGAATTATTTATTTTATTCTTTGAACATCCCTATATTTTAATGATTTTCAATACCATAAATTGAAAATATTTATATTGATAATACTTGTTTTACATATTTTAAAAAATTAAAGCACTCCAAAATGTTGATGAGGTAGAGGAAACATTTATTCCAGAACTTTTATTCCGGAAACTTCCTGAGTCCTGCAGCAAGTTTCCAGGCCAGAGGCCCCAAAGGGTGGGGAGAAGATCATAGTGAAGTCTGTTAAAAAATGATATCCCATATAAACCCCAATACAATTCCAAATCTTTTTGTGAAAAAACCCCAGAACACCACTTCCTCCACCCCACGCACAACCAAGGACTCCAGTCTTGCCCATTGCCTTTGAACCTGTGACCTCAAGCTTATCTGGCAAAGGTAGAGTTCTGAGGTAGAGTTCTGTCTGAGCTCCTCCTCTTGCCTCAGCTCCTTTCTCTCTATTTGTATAATGCCATTCACCCAGCCAATAGCAGAGGGTAGGATAGCGTGTCTGTGTGAGGAATTTGAGGCACAAACTACACACAGGAGATAAACTGCATGTTGCTGGCTTGGATGCAGGCGTCCCCTGTGCAGATAAAGAAATGCACATTTGGCCCTAACTGGTTTGGCTCAGAGGATAGAGCATCGGCCTTCGGACTCAAGGGTCCCGGGTTCGATTCCGGTCAAGGGCATGTACCTTGACTGCAGGCACATCCCCAGTAGGGAGTGTGCAGGAGGCAGCTGATCAATGTTTCTCTCTCATTGATGTTTCTTACTCTCTATTCCTCTCCCTTCCTCTCTGTAAAAAATCAATAAAATATATTTTTAAAAAAAGAAAAAGAAATGCACATTTGGTTCTCTGCATGGGTGGGTCTTGGTTTCCTCGGCCCCAGCAGCACCTTGAGTCTCTATGTGTGCTGAAGAAAACAGAAGACAGTATCTGGTCTAGATGAGAACTGTTCAGTAAGGAAGTTCCCACTGGGTTGTAGGTTGTTACCATGCTGAAACCTAGGCTCAAGAAAAGAAAGAGTCCAAGGAATTATGTGGGAACAGTCTACACAGTCATAACAAAAGAGCAAGGCCCAGAAACTTTTAAAGTTACCCAATATTGTCCACATTCAGGTCTCAAGCAAGGCCTAGGCCAGTGATGGCGAACCTATGACATGCATGACAGAGGTGACACGCGAACTCATTTTTTTGGTTGATTTTTCTTTGTTAAATGGCACTGAAATATATAAAATAAATATCAAAAATATAAATCTATGTTTTACTATGGTTGCAAATATCAAAAAATTTCTATATGTGGCATGGCACCAGAGTTAAGTTAGGGTTTTTCAAAATGCTGACACACTGAGCTCAAAAGGTTCACCATCACTGGCGAAAGAAGCAGCCTCCTAGTGCCAGGAAAGGTCAAGGCACCTCTGGAAGCGGGACTCTCTATCAGAAGTGATGTGATTCACGCTCTGCAATGGCAGTTAGTCTCCTTAGTGCGTGCACACTGGTGAACAAACCAGGCTTCTCTGAGGGGCAGAAAGAGCCTTAACACCCAGACACTGAGTATGTTGTCCAAACAAAAAGGAACAACAGGATTGGCAAAATGAGAAGTCCTAGAGGCTGATGCCAGAGAGGCTTTTATAAGAGTGAACAAGATATCAGGACAGGGCAGGAGAAAGCCCACCCAGGAAAGAAAAATAGGAAATGAGAAAGGCATTTCTTCTAGAACCAAAGTCCAGAATCAAGATAGGACACGAGAAAGACCCAGATTCGTACAGAGGAGTAGGTACCTCAGGAGATAAGAATCCCAGGTGAAACAGCAGAGTCTGGTCAAAGCTCCTTCTGCTAGGGGTTCCTGAGAGATGGTTTTGGACCTGGACCCAACCCCAGAGGAGAGCTAATGTGATACCAGGAAGTAGAGTTTAGATATCATGGTGGCACTGGCAGCATCCCAGAGGTAGGTGACTAGTCCAACACTAGCAGAGAGAGAAGATGGGTGGGAAAGGAAGCAGAGGAAGAGGGTGATGAGCCCTCACCCTCTTCTCAGATTATATCATGAGACCTGTCATAAGAAAGTGAGTCATTTTCGAGTAGTGGCTTTATGATTATCAAAGCAATTTATAGACACCTCTCTAAAACAATGATTTTTCTATCTTTTCTTCCTTCCTTCCCTTCCCTTCCTTCCTTCCTTCCTTGCTTCCTTCCTTCCTTCTTTCCTTCCTTCCTTCCATCCACTAAACTACACATCCATCAGGGAAAATGACAATTGCCCATTGACTGAACATCTACTGGACTGGCATGAGGATAAAGTGCAAATAGACCTTTGGGATCTGATGGAAGGACTTCATAGCATTGGCTCTGCCAGAGGGTTCAGGTTCATAGTAGGTAACACAGGGGTAAAGAAGTGGGAAGGGAGGAGCCATTCACATACTTGAGTTTTAAGGATGTTTGGATTTCCTCAGGGGCACACCTAGCAAAAGATTGCATGTTGAGGTCAACTCGGGGTCAGTGACCTCTGTTTCATCTTACCATGATCTTAGGACATGACTGGTGTATGATCAAAGAGAACCCATGAGAGGCAAGGTCTTCAGGGCTATGCATCATGTTGAACAGACCCAGTTAGTCCTGGATCTCCATCCCCAATGACATCTACTGTCCTTGGTCAACATGGCATCTTAAGTCTCTCACCAGAGTAAAAACAGTTCATTTCTAAAGCAGGCATTTCAGCCTTTCCTTTCCTCTCAAAGGGCTAGATCTGCTAAGAAATGGAAGAGCATATTGTTCACTTATTGTCACGTACTGAATAGTCACTTAAGTAAAGATCAGATGATTCACCTACTATTCTTCAGAGCCTCCCAGAAGAACCAGTAGTGCCTATTGTTCATCTCCACATCCGCTTAGAAAATTAAAGTACTCAATAGAATTAATCTGAGCTAAAGACCAGGTTTCTATCCAAGAAACACACTTGTTCCTGGTTCCAGAACCCAGAACTTCCCCCTGACATAACTCATCACCGCCCAGGAATCCTGTTATCCATACCATCCTCATCACAAAGGGTAGACAGTGGGACCAAGCCCAACGTGATATTTTTGTCAAAGAGTAAGTGCCAAAAAATGTTAAGCCAGAGATTTTCATTACAAAAGCTGGAATAAAGATAGGGCAGTCCAAAAAAGCTTCCACTTCCTTAAGGCAGGGCTCACATTCTGTATAAAATGCTAGCTGGCCAGAGACTCCCCACCAGACCCAAGAGGCCAGACAGCTTGAACTTTTCTCTGCACCAGGTAAGTCTCTCTACTTGCAATTTCTTAATATGTGCCCAATTGTATTTTATTTGTTTGGAGTCTGTTTGTCATGCTAAAAATATATTTACTTTAAATGCAATGGTAGTTTGTGTTTAAGTTGACATTCAGGTCTGTGGACTTCCCACTCAGATTGTAACTATGAAACTTTGGATAAACAAAAGGAATTGTTTCTGTAATGATGATTTGTCCGGTTACAGGACAGAGACTATGATCAGGGTACTTTTAGTGACTTTTAATACATCTTCTAATCATTACTGAGTATTTGAAATATTGTGGCACTGATGATTTGGATGTTCAAAAGATAGCTTTTTCTTTAATCCATTAACTTACCATCTATCAAAGAACATAGAACATGGGCATAATTTACAAACATGCTTCAAGAAAAGTAATTAAGGGAGAGGACAAGGCAGGTATTGCGCTGTGGCAAATGAGGAAGGTGACTTGGATTTGACAAAGAGTGTCTGGGAGGATGGGTGAACATGTGTGGAAATAGCAACAGGATGCCTTCCATAAAGCATGTACAGAGGAGAGGATGTGGACAGGGGGTCAGAGGTGGAATCATGTGGCTCAGGGCAGGCTGGTGTGCAGTTCTCTTAGGAGAGCTATGTGGTGGACTTGAGAGGGTAGATCTTAGACTTTTGACTTTATCATCCTCCCAAATTATTAAAATCCTGGGGACTTGATCAATCCTGGGAGCCAATGTTGTGTTTTGCTTCCAATGTAGGTTTTCAGAATCACCAGGAAGAGAGGAAAGATAGGCCAGGGGTCCACTCATATGGAGCAGAATAAGCACCTTTAAGCTTTTCTCCTTGAAAGGACACAGGATAAACAAAGTTTCCATTGATTCAGGGGAGAGAGAAAGAGGAGAGGCTCTCACATCTGAAGGGACATGCTAGCAGATATATTGAACATTAAATTTGTCTTTTTCCTTGTTTCGCCAAATCACTGGGTCAACTTTTCTGTCTCTAGGTCCAGCCTCCTTTGAACCATGAGTTCCCACCAGCAGAAGCAGCCCACCAACCCACCTCCCCAGCTTCAGCAGCAGCAGGTGAAACAGCCCTCCCAGCCTCCACCTCAAGAACCATCTGTTCCTATAATCAAGGCGATATGCCCCCCCAAGGTTCCACAACCTGGCCAAACCAACGTTCAACAACCTGGCCCCACCAAGGTTCCACAACCTGGCCAAACCAACGTTCAACAACCTGGCCCCACCAAGGTTCCAGAGCCATACTATCCCCAGCATCCTCAACCAGGCCAAACCAAAGTTCCAGAGCCATACAAGCCCCAGCATCCTCAACCAGGCCAAAAAGATATTTCAGAGCCATACTACCCTCAGCATCCTCAACCAGGCAATCCTGTGTTTCCTGAGAAGGGTCACACCAAGCTTCCTGAGCCAGTCCACCCTAAAGTCCCTCAGCCTGGCCAGCCTCAGGTCCCTGAGCCATTTCCTTCGAAGGTTACTCCTGGCCCAGCCCAGCAGAAGACCAAGCAGAAGTAATGTGGACCACAGCCATGCCCTTGAGGAGTTGATCACCGGATGCTGAATACCTTCTTCCCTTCTGCTTCTGTGTCTTGATTATCTGTAGACCTTGTAATCAGTATGTTCTCACCATCAGTCAGAATCTTTCTCTTATTTGCATCCTAAAAAAATATTTTCTGTGAGACTTTTCCTTGCACACTCTGAAGAGTCCTCTGAGCCTCTGAATTATGCAGAAGGCCCGAGTGGCTCTGCTGGTCCTATGTTGCTCAGGACTCACCTGAAGAGTCAGTCTGGATGAGAACAATGCCTGTTTCCTGCTCTGTCCCTATTAAAGCACTTTAATCCCACTTTTGGCTGCTTGTCTTAGTGAGTAAATCTGCCCCTTCCTGTTCTAGGACCTGCAATTAGAGAGGAGTTGGTGCAGACATCATCTACCTGTCCTGTTACTGTGTGCTTCCATGAGTGTGTGTGTGTGTGTGTGTGTGTGTGTGTGTGTGTGTGTGTGTGATTACATTTAAGGGGCATCTCAAGAATGGCACTAGCTATTGTGTAATGGAACCCAGAGCCTGTCACTTTGGGCAGCCACACCTGGAGCAGGGCTCTCCTTTGACACTGGACTGAGTCATGCCTCAGTCCCATGGTGCCTACTCCAAGCCATCTCTGATCCTGAGGACTCTGCCCCCATGGGTCCTTCTTATTCCCCAAAACATCACTATTACATGCTTGACCCTAATATTCCTGGTTTTCTTCATTTATTTTACCTTCCAGACATCCAACACATACAGACACACACTCACAAAAGGCACATTTATTCAAGTAGCCACACACACCTAATTATCCACACAGCTCGGTCCTCAGCTCAGACAATGTTATCTTTTCCTGGGCACCCATCATGTGCAGGGAGGCCTGATACTATCTATACCAGGAAGAAGGAGAGGAGGATACACAGTGCCTCCCCTCAGAGAATCTGTAGTCTTCTCTGGGAGATACAATATTCAGGTCCTCATATAAACATATATACAACCACACACACCCACTTCAGATGGTGTTCCTCCCAAAATAAACCACGGACAGCTATCTATCAAGAGATTAGGAAAAGGAGCTGAGTTTGAAGAAGAGTTTACAAGGAGGAGTAAGTGATCCAAGTGAGGTGGATAACTAGCCAGGAACTGGTGGAAAGCCCACTTCAGATGGTGTTCCTCCCAAAATAAACCATGGACAGCTATCTATAAAGAGATTAGAAAAAGGAGCTGAGTTTGAAGAAGAGATTACGAGGAGGAGTAAGTGATCCAGTGAGGTGGATAACTAGCCAGGAACTGTTGGAAATGAGGTCATTAAGCTATAAAATGTCAGGAGTGAAAGGAGAGTTAAATAGCACCTAGTACAGCCCCTGAATTTCCAGATAAAGAGACTGATATCCAGAAAGGAGAAGAAGATCGAGACCAACGAGAAATTGTTTCTGAATCACACCTAGAACCTAGATCTCTATATATCTAGACCCTAACTTTCTCCTGCAGCCACTTTTGATCTCAAGGGTGATCGATAGGTTTACAGGTCTTCGTTGAGTGGGTCTGAGATTTTAGGGAGCTTTTTTTCCAAAACCAGTAAAGCCAACATAAAATTTCAGAATGGCTCCAGTGGTCACTGGGAAGTGAAGCCCATTTCTTGACAAGGTTGATGGTCCATAACACCTGGCAGGTGTGAGGCAGGTGACAGTATCTGAGTGACGTGATGCACAAGCACTCAGAGTTGGCAAGAACTCGGAAATCTTTGGAAACTGCAAGACAGAAACCGTCCAACAAGTTATTACAATGTGCTGAGTAGTTGTCACACTGGCAGAAGGGAAGGACGTGTCTTGGGTCTGCCTGGTATGCACATTTGAAATGGCTTCATGTTTCTGCTGATTTCAATAGTGGAAGAGTCTAGCGATAACTCTGGGCCACTCACAATTAAATAGGTTGATTCTTAATGGGGAAATGGACTCTGTAATACACAGATTTTATAAATATAGTTTAAACGTCATAAAGAAGAGTTTGGCAGGAAAGAATCAAAAGATTTAACGACCTACCTGACTCTTGAATGATCATTTGATTCCAGAATTTTATTTGTAGGAAATATTCATGCATGTATACAAATATTTTATATATGAGGATATTTGTTTCAGCATTGTATCTAATACAAAAAAAGGTGATAACACTGAAATGCATATCAATAGATAATGCAACAACAGATGAGATGTCTGTGCTGGGATTATACTACAGGCATTGAAAAGATTGTTGTAGGAAAATGATTAGTCTTATTGGGAAAAGTTCCGATTATATTATTACAAAAGCAGATACTAAACAATATAAGCAAAAACATCTTTTTAATAATGGATGCATGTGTCTGGATTTACAGGGGAAAAAATATATCCTGAATAAAACAACACTGAATAAAGCAAAATATAACTATGGCTATTTCTGGCTGCTTATATGTTAGTGTTCATTTTTTAATAGCTCTGTTTTGCCACTTTATGCATTATACAATGTTATTTGATTTTTGTAGAACGTCTAATCCTGATATTAAAAAATAAAAAAGTCAGTGAAGATGTTGCTAGAATAAATGTATGTTCTGCCCATCATGAACATTCCCAAGGCTCTGCAGCAGGTCCCAGATCAGCAGCCCAAGGGTAGGATGCCACATCCTGGTTGGGGTAGCCCCTATGTCTCATCCCTCCACACAGCTCCATCCCAATTTTGATCTTCTGGTAGGTACACTGAAGCCAACAATCCACTCAGACTCACAGGCCAAGGACCTCAAATCCTGCCCACTAACTGACAGCTAAAACCACCAAGGTTTAAATGAGGTTCCTCCGCCTAACCCCACCAAGGTACAAGATCTGAATCACCCTAAGGTTCCAGGTTACTATGGGCCCATCCCAGCAGAAGATCAAGCAGAAGTCATGTGGTCCACTGCCACGCACTTGAGGAGCTGATCTCAGGATACTGAACACCTTCCCTTCCGTTTCTGTGTCTTAACTATCTGCAGATCTTATAATCAGTATGTTCTCACCATGAGTCACCATGTCTTTCTTGCATCTAAAAACATGGGCTATGAAACCTTCCTTGCACTCATTTTAGAGGTCCCATGGGCCTCTAAGTTAAGCAGGGGTCTTAGTGGTTTTGTTGGTCTCAGCTGCTTAGGGTTCAACCGAAGAGGGAATCTCAATGGGAAGAAATGCATGTTTCCTGCTCTCCCTCCTTTAAATCACTTTTGAGTGAACTCCTGACTGTATGTGTCATTGGGTGACTCTGCCCCATTTACTGCCACGCTATCATGATAGAACCTGTCATCAGAGAGGAGTTGGTGTAGACATCATCTATCTGTGCTGATACTGTGTGTTTCCATGTGTGTGTGATTACATTTAGGGGGCATCTCAAGAATGGCAATGGCTATTGTGCAATGGAATCCAGAGCCTGTCACTTTGGACAGCCACACCTGGAGCAGGACTCTCCTCTGGCACTGGACTGAGTCATGCCTCGGTTCCATGACATGGCGCCTGCTCCAAGCCACCTCTGATCCCGAGGACCCTGCCCTCAAGGCTCCTGCTTATCCCTCAAAACATCACTGCTACTTACTTGAACCTAATCATTCTGGTTTTTAGATTTAACCAGTGACTTAAAACCAGAGGGGAGTTTTAGGCAGGGATTAGGGATACATGATCCAGGGGAGGTGAACAATCAGCCACAGTGTTGGGAAAGAGCTGGTCATTAAGATTTCAAATGCCAGGAATGAAAGAAGATGTCAGAGCATCTGGTACAGCCATTCTATTTTTCAAGAAAAAAAAATGATATCAAAACGTTAATTAGAGTAACCCAGAATTCATCTTTTTTTGCATCATACATGACACACTAAAGCCTGCTAAGAGAGCTTTTCTGTCTTCAAAAGCCTCTTATATGTGACTTTAATCCACCCTTATACCTTCCTGTGTAGAGTGGACATTTTCAAGAAAGTCCACGGAATGTAAGTGGCATTTGGGCACCTGAAGAAGCACTCCTTGATGCATCTTATTCTGAGCTGATCGTTGTTGCTGACTGAAGAGGCGCCCTGGAAGAAGAAAGATCCATCCCTGTCCTAATGACAGCTGACAGCAGCAAGTAAAAGCAGAGGATAACTTATTTTCCTTCGGCTCTTGCCTCTCTTCCACTTACTCTCTCCAGTCCAGCCACAGTGTCCCTGGAACATGCCAGGCAAGCTCTGGCCTTAGAGCATTTACATCGAATATCCCCTTGACCTGGAACTGTTTCCACAGAGAGCCTAATAGCTAACTTTTCAACCCTCAAATCTGTTCAAACATCACATTCTCAATGAGGGCACACACACCACCACCACCACCACCACCACCACCACCACCTCTTTGGTGCTCTCAGTTGCTTACATGCGTATTCCTTTTGTTCATAGCATTTAAATAATGTGCATATTCATCATGTTTCTTTATTGTTTATTTTCACCCTCCCCTATAGTATGTGAACTCCACACGGTCAGAGATCTTTGTTATTGTTCATTGATATACCCTCAAGGGTCTAGAACTCTGCCTGACTTATTGTAGCCACTCAAGAATCAGGTGAATGAATGAATTAGAGGAGGTCCTTTGAGCGATAGTTGAGAATCCTCAAAAATTTCCATTGTCACCAGCATCTGTTGAAACTACAAGGTGAGCCAGGCCTCTAGTGCTGAGCACATATTCCAGTGGGGAGACTCCAGGGTATGTCATCACCTGACATGCCCTGACTTGTCCTTTTAGGTGACTTGAGAAGTAACTAATCCTGCTGGATCTTAGGAAGGCCGCAATCTCCCATGTGGCTGAGCCTGAGTTCTTGAGATTCATGTCTATTTTGAAGCGATCAGATTGTGGTTCGCATTTGAAAAAAAAATTTTGTGTGTGTGCTTTTTCTCATGTGGTGAGAAGATGTAGAACTCTTTGTCTGGAGATGAAGGCAGAAGTATTTGTCCATAACCTCCTATCACTCCCGTTCACAACCACCAGTTCTCCAGTCTGACTCCATGTGCATTAACTCTCCCTGGATTATGTACTCAACAGTGCATTGTTCTATGGGTGCCCTGCACTTTAGTATCATAGAAGACTTAGATCAGGAAGGGACAGGAGGATCTTGCACAAATCCCATTCGAGCCTACATTCGAGGGCCACATGTCAGTGTGTGGATACAAAGTAGGGCAGAGAGAATTTGTAGAGATGCCCAAAAGGTGTCTAGTACAGTTAACCAGTAAGACTAAGAAAGATCAGGCTTTGGAATAAGAACACTAGCAGCATCCAGACAAAGGCATTAGTGTGAAAGTCATTGGGGAGATGCTAGCTGCAATCAGAAGCCATATAGCTGCCAGAAAATTCATTGGCTAATTCAGCATTGCTGGTGAAGAAATTGAGCTTCCATGTATAATATAAAAAGGTGTGGTATCCAACTATTCGCTGTACTTTAGACAAAAGTGCAGTCAGGTAAAGAAGAAATTCAGGTGCTAGAAAGGAAAAGGTGTTGTCTGGGGGAAAGGACACACAAGTCAGATAGGTGTATCAGGTCACTGACTCTTGCTGAACCATTACTCCTATTCTCAGCTCATACCATGTGGCTTGTGACAAGGGAGTGTTTCTTTTATAAGAAACATCCTAGTGCCCTGGCTGGTGAGACTTAGTTGGTTGAGCATTGTCTCATGCACCAGAAGGTTGCTGGTTCAATTTCTCATCAGAGCGCATGCCCAGGGTGCAAGTTCCATCCCCAAGAAGGGGGTTGCTTGTCTCAGCCAATTGATGTTTCTCTTCCTCTCTCTTCCTCTCAGGCTCTCAAATCAATAAAAATATATTTTTTAAAAAAGAAAAGAAACTTTCTAGCTGTTCTCAAAGCAACTTCTGTGTATCTCATAAAAGTAATGACATTCATTCATCCACCTATTCTATTACTGTCAATCTATCAAGTACCTTGTGGGGATAAAGAATAGAATAATCACTAGGAGATGAGTGGGAAGCGCTCCTGGTGATGGCTGGCGGGTCCTGGGCTCCAGTTCAGGGGAGGTGACACAGTTGTGGAGCCAGCAGCTATTCCACAAAATATAAGTGAGCAAAGGTAAGGAAGAAGGGACCACACAAGTACCTGGGTTTGAAGAATGATTTGGATTTTCCAAATACCCCAGCTTGTTACAGATTGTGTATGAAAGGCAGGCCTGGATTAGTGACCTCACTTTCATTTTATCTTAAGCAGAGTGGACTCTGATATAAAGGGTCAAGGGATCACAGGTCCCATGTTCCTGTGTTGCTTCCAGGGAGGGGTCCTCATGGGAGGCAGCATCTTCAGGGTCCACTGGCGCATTAGACAGAACAAGTGGATGGGTAAAAGGACCAGGTTACTCTGGGGCTGCTCAACCTGACTGCCTTCTCCAGGTTTTCACCAATCAGCATCCCCATCACTGATCGGGGTTCACATACTCCTGTCTGCTATTGACACTGAGGTCTCTCTTGGAGTGAAGGAATTTTAGGGCCAAAAGAATCATATGAGCCTTGCCTTTCCCCTCGCAGACCTGGGTACACTTAGGAATGGGTAAAGAGAATTATTACTTTTTTCCACCTGGGGAAGTTCATGGCACCATGCCCTTGGCCTCCCAGGAGAACCAGGAACAACTGCTTATCTCCACATCCACTTCCAATACTAAGCAGTTCAATAAGCCTGGACTGTGTCAGGGATTAGGGCCTCCAGGAAACAGGGATGTTTCTGGATCCGGCAGCCCTAGAACTTCTCCCTCTTCTTGCCTTTCAGCCCACACCACCCCCACTGGAAACATTCCACTTGGGTGTAAAGGACCCTCCATGGGGACAAGGCCCAGGTGACATCATTGCCAGACAGCAAGTGCCAAAAAAATGTCAAGTGGGTGGTTTCATCACAAAGACTGAACCAACAGGTAGATGAGGGGACTGGGGTGAATCATGTTTGACAGGCAAAGGATTAAGACATAGCAGTCCAAAAAAAAATCCCATTTCCTTGAGATAGGTTTCCATCTATAAAAAGCCAGTTGGCTGGGGACACTACACCAGACCCGAGTGACCACGCAGCCTGCTCTTCTCTGCGCACCAGGTGGCTCTCCTTCCTCCGAACGCTTACCAATTCCTCAAGGTATTTGCTTTTTATTGGAACCTCCTTGGCACTATTGAAGTTCTCTTATCAGAGTTATAGCCTCTAGGAATAGCTTTGTTGTAAATGCAACCATAGTTTCGCTGGAAGAGACTTACTAGTAAGATGTTATCAATGCTGCCCCATCAGCTCTTGCTGTGACAGAGAGAAGAAGACTGGCTTGCGTGAGACCCTCCATGAGCAGGATAAACCCTGCTAACTTAGAGTTGGTAGAACTTATAGTGACATCATACCTCTTTCTTTATTCCTAACCTTAATGCGGAGAATTTTATTCTTTCACCAAAGTGTTTTTATGAGAATTTATTATGTTGGTACTTTGCTAAAAAAAAAAACAATTTAGACAACAGAGAATTTATTCCATGAAACTATGGCGTATACAGGAAAATAAGGCATGGGCAGCAGAAAGGCAATGTAGAAAGTCACCCGCATAGAGCAATAAGGACAAGCAAAGTGCTGTGCAGTTTGGGAAAGAGAAGGCTTGCTCTAGCAATGCCTCCCAAGGTTTCGGATGAGGATCACAGAGGCCACCTGTGACCCATGGTGTTCAGGTAGTACTTGAACGAGCAGATTGAAGGAAGCTCATGAGAAAGAGTAGGGTGTGAGTGAGGTTAGAGGGGATCAAGTGGGTTCTGGAGAAGTCAGTAATTAGCTTATAGGTGACAAACCATTCCGTTTTCAGAAATGTTAGGCTGAAGTTACTGGGTTGCTGTTTTGTGTTGTTGTTTTTTTCTTTCAAACCATATCACATTTCCATGTGATCCAATATTGTGCTCTCGTATTTCTGCCAGGAAGCTGTGGCTGTGTTGCGTTGCTAATTGGGTTTTAAGTTGTGCCAGGAAGAAAGAGAGCACTGGGTGGAGCTGAACAAATTACCTTTTGGTTCCCCCTGTTCAAAGGTTCAGAAATCACCAGGGTGTTCTTAGTCATAAACGGAGGAAGGGGAACATTTGCTTCTTAGGAGGCCTGAACTGGCATTGAACATGGCTCCTTCCCTAGCTAATCCCTGTTTAAACCATCTGTTCTGGCTCTAGGTCCAGCCTCTTGTGAACCATGAGCTCCTACCAGCAGAAGCAGCCCTGCACCACACCCCCCCAGCTTCAGCAACAGCAGGTGAAACAGCCTTGCCAGCCTCCACCCCAGGAACAATGTGTCCCCCAAACCAAGGAGCCATGCCACCCTAAGGTTCCTGAGCCATGCCACACCAAGGTTCCTGAGCCCTGCCAAACCAAGGATCCTGAGCCATGCCACCCCAAGTTTCCTGAGCCCTGCCAAACCAAGGATCCTGAGCCATGCCACCCCAAGGTTCCTGAGCCATGCCACACCAAGGTTCCTGAGCCCTGCCACACCAAAGTTCCTGAGCCATGCCAAACCAAGGTTCCTGAGCCATGCCACACCAAGCTGCCAGAGCCATGCCACACCAAGCTGCCAGAGCCATGCCACCCTGACGTTCCTGAACCATGTCCCTCCACGGTCATCCCGGCACCAATTCAGCAGACCAAGCAGAAGTAATGTGGTCCTTGATGCTGAATCCCCTCTCCCATTCTGCTTGAGTGCCATTTTCCTTGTAATTAGTATGATGTTACCCTGAGTTACAATCCTTCCTCAGTTGCCCCCTAAAAATATGTTCTATGAACCCTTCCTTCCCAAACACTCCAGACCTCTGAGCTTCTGAATGAGGCTGAGGGTCTTAAGGTGCAAATATGTGGATCAGTTCTGTTCTGCCCCCATTAAATGCACTTTCCATTTCACTCCTGACTGTGTGTGTCGTGATCTGACTCATTGTCTTTATTCCTTTCCCTTGTGAAATAGGACCTGTTCCCAGACAGGTTGGTGAGGAAGGGCATCTTTCAGAGTCTTTGGGCCCTGGTAGTAGGTGGGTGGCGGGTCCCCCCTCCCCCTTACCTCACCGCTGACTTTTCTTGGGATGGCATTGGGAGGTTGTGTAATGGCACCCCGAGGCTGTTCCTTGGGCATCCAAGGCTGGAGCAGGGCTCTCCTCCTGTGACTCAGTGAGTCACACTGGAGTCTAGTTAGTGCCTGTCCGCGATAACTCTGACTCTCTAACCCTGAGTGCCCTGCCCCTACACCTGGCTTTCAGATTGCTCACTCATCCAGCCAATTCCTATTTATTTCAAAGGATATTGTTCCTACATATGTGAATCTGCTCCTCCTCGCTCATTTCTTTCTGAGACCTGTGACTCTGTTTCTCAAACATCCACAAGGACTCGCAGCTTCCACATTTATCTCAATCAATCCTCTCCTATTCGCTGAGTGCCCACTCTGCCAGGAAGGGAATGAGGCATTTCCAGTCATCTAGAAGGATGTACTTCTCTCCCCACTCAACCCCTCACACAAACACACATACACACCCATGCACGCTAGATTGGAGGTTTCCCAGAGTAACACACCAAAGCTGATCTACTGCATCCTCAGGATGCAAACTGTTTACTTCACACACAGTGTGGCAGGAACCACAGGCAGTGAGGACTGGAAAGCCCACCACTCCATCTTCCTAGAATATAAAAATTTTTACAGAGAAATGAAGCATGGTAGAACTGTCAGCCATCCATTCATATATCTGTGCACATATTCATATTTGTATCAAAAATACATTTCTCTTTATATTCCTGGGATGGAAAACACAGCAAATTTTCTTGCAGAAGTATAGTGCAGTCACTGTGGAGAACAGTATGGAGTTTCCTCAAAAAACTAAAAATGGAGCTCCCATTTGACCCAGTGATCCCACTTCTGGGAATATATCCCAAGAAACTAGAAACACCAATTAGAAAGGATATATGCACCCCTATGTTCATGGTAGCTCAATTCACCAT